TTAACCCTCAAATCGATGTCAAACGACTAGAAACTAGTCAAATGTTATATAGAATAATCAATATATGTTCAAAAGTTCATATTCAAACTATTAGAGTGATTAACCAACCCCAATTGAAGAATTTCTAAAATTCAGCCCCGGGCCCACGTGCCCGGATTCCGAAAATTTTCGAAGATAAATGTTACCCATAGCCTCAGTAATTCAAATATATAATTTTCACATCGTTCCATAATCATTTCGTGGTTGAATCCCATTTTTATGAAAGCCTAGGTTTTTCATCTAAACCCACAATTTCTACTAATTTACATGTTAAAATCTACCCATAACTTTGTATTTAACTCACATTGTGTAGAAATTACTTACCTCAAAGTGTTGGGTGAAAAACCCTCTCCAAGAGCTCTAAAAATAGCCCAAGGAATGAAATAAATGAGCTCAAATGCCTAAGTCCCGTATTAAATGAGGTTCTACTCCAGCGATCCTCGCACCCGTGATGAAACAGCCACACCTGCGGTTCCGCTTCTGCAGGAAAACCCACGCAGGTGAGGACCAAGGCCTGGCTTCCCCTTTCCACTTCTTCGCCCAACTGGTCGCTCCAGCGAGCCCGCGCTGCAGTGAAAGCTTTGCACCTGCGCCTTCATAGGTGCGGTCCCTGGCTCGCTCCTGCGGCTCTTGGGCTGTCCACACTGGTCCACTTCTGCGGCTCGTGGCTCGCTTCTGTGAGCCAGACCTGTAGCTGGCCAAGTGCAGGTGCGATTTGTCACGTCTCGAACCTAGGGGCGAGACCGACACCCGGTACCTTACTCAATCGAGTACCAACATAATGTATCTTTTCATGTTATACTATCATAGATAACTAAGCCGGAAGGCTGCCGTGAGATAAGTAGAATTCAACATGCGATACCAACTTATACATAATACATACGGGCCTATAGGACCAAAATAACCACTCGTATACTGAACATAGGCCCACAAGGCCATACAATCTTTTACGTACATGACATCTGTCTACAAGCCTATAAGAATACATAATTTTCATAAAGGTGAGGACAGAGTCCCGCTATACCAAACAATACACATCTAAATCATACTAACCAAACAAGCAACTCCGAAGCAAATGGAGCGCACCAACATCTTCCGCTGAGCTGATAGCCTACTTGGAGGGCTCTCGACCTGTCTATCGGGATCTGCGGGCATGAAACGTAGCGTCCCCAGGCAAAAGGGCATCATTACGATTAATGTACCGAGTATGTAAGGCACATAAATAAGTACATTACAAACATGGAAGAAATATAGAGTAAATGACTCAATCTGTAAGTCTGGATAACTCTATAATCATGAAATAATTATAGTGGCATGCATATGCGTATGAATGTCATGTCGTGCATAGGTACATGTTTCATCACATCATCAGGCCTCTGAGGGCATCCCATCATATCATCTCGGCCACTGTGGGAAAAATCATCAACGTATACCAGTTGATCAGGTGGTGGTACGTATATAACGCCGTAGCCTTTTCCCATTTTCCATATACATATACATACATATATACGCGTGAATAACACCGCCTGGTCATGGGTCAATGTAAATGAATGCAATGTATGAAATGCATAAGAAATACGTTAATAAGATTTTCTCGGAATGCCATAAAAATCAATATACCTATCGGATAAACTTTATCAAATACGTATTTTTCTGAGACCCATGAACAGAAGACATAATAATAATTCACATGGGGAATCAAGAATATAGACACCCCTAGTATTTCTATGAATAGAGTCATTTATGAAAGTTGCGTATTTTGCTCGGATTATGCCAAAAAGAAAGAAGAGATAGCCTTAACATACCTGGAGTAGGGAAAAATTCGTATGATGTTCTTGGAAAAAGGTTGCACCGTACTTCGTTAGAATCGCAAAATTTTACGTTGCTAAAGTTCAAATAATTCTCGTTGGGTTGGTTGAAGAATCACGTTGCTTAATGTAATACTTGGAATCTGATTCAAGTGTTTGAAAATGAAAAGTTGAAAAATCCTAAGAATGGCCAACATTTCCTCCACTTTTAATTGTAGTGTTTGAGAATGAGATTTGTTGAAAGCATATATGAATTCACTTCTGATGGTAGAGTCTTTGGTATGGAAATGTTAAAATCTCATTGTAGTATCTTGAGAATGAATTTGTTGAAATTCACCAGAATGACTAACGTCCCCACTTGTCATTGTAGTATCTTTGTATGGAAATTATTTGAATTGAAATGCCTTGTATTTGGCATATTAGGTTGCCACCTAATAAGAATGACTAAGAGCCATTCCTTTAGGATGTGGCTTGCTGCCACGTGGGTATGGGGTGAAAAAATTTAATCTTTATCCACTTATTAGGTAATTAGGTAATGTCCCGTTATTCGGTAATTAACCAATTACCCGCATAATTAAGAATTGTCTCAAATTACTTAAAATTTTACTTATTTTTAATACACTTTGTACATCCTACTATCATGGTCATATGGTACCTTGTATGGTACTAGTCCATAAATATCGGGTATTAACGCTAGGCCCAAATTTTATCTCAACATGCCAAACTTGGACGAAAATTCATTTTCTTTGACTTGCTTCCCCTCTCACCTTCATGAATTTACTCATCACTTGTTTGAAATAGCATAATCCTTATAATCTCCAAATAATCTTTTCCTTGGACTGATGTCAATTACCTTACGACAAATTCAATGTACAATACTACAGGGTGCAACATCGTCATAACTTAATACTGCGAAGCGTAACATCATCGTAATATAATATCGCGAGACGTAATATTGACGTAATATTGTGGGGCATAACACGATTGCACCAGATGCTGGGAGCTTCAGCTGATGCTCCCAAGTCCCAACTTGGTACGAGCCTCGCCCGATTATCACCCGAGACCCCCGGGGCCCCGCCCGAACATATCAACAAATTTGAAATAATAATACAGACTAGCTCACACCCTCAGAATGCATCAAACATCAACAAAACTAAGAATCACAACCCAAACCAAATTGAATCAACTTAAGAACTTCATGTTCTTCAAACTTACTCCGAACGCACCGAAACATACTTATACTACTCGGAATGACACCAAATTTTACGTGCAAGTCTTAAATCACCATACGGAACTATTCCCAGGATTGAAATCCCAATTGGACCTCGATAACACCAAAACCTACTCCAAACTAAATTTAAAGAACTTCAAAACCTTTAAAAAGCCAAATTTCACTATTAGGCGCCGAAACGCTCCCGAGTGCTCCAAAACCCGATCCGAATATACGCCCAAGTCCAAAATTATCATACGAACCTATTGGACCATCAAATCCCAATTTCGAGGTCATTTACTCAAAACGTTGACCAAAGTCAAACTTAGCCCTTTTAGCCAGCCTTAAGGAACCAAGTGTTTCGATTTCAACCTGAACCCTTCCAAATCCAAACTAACCATCCCCGCAAGTGATAAAACAGTAAAAGCACATACATGGAGTCTTATTTAAGGAAACTGGGTTCTAAAAAGCAAAATGATCGGTCGGGGCGTTACGAGTAGGTTAAAATCACTTATCAAAGAATTGAGGAAAAAGAGTTCTTGGAAAATTCGCCTCTAACATTTCTAGGTTTGAAAATTTGAGAGAATGAACTAAAATCCCATTTTCCATCTTAAGTCCAGGCGCAGATGTCGCAATTGCGACCTAGGGTTCGCAATTGCGAAAAATTCTTCGCAAGTGCAAAGTCTTCACACTTCTGCTACCATCGCAATCGTGATGGTTTGTTCGCAAATGTGAACTTGGACTTCTCGCCGGGAGTCAAAACATGGATCCAGGTCCGTTTTCTCAAAACGTTGAACGAAGTCAACTCAAATAGATTTTTAAGGCAAAATTTCATATTTTATTAGTTTTTTACATAAAAGCCTTTCGGAAAAATACCCGGACTGCGCATGCAAATTGAGGAAGGCTTAAAGAAGCTATTGGAGGCTTTGAAACATAGAATTAGTTTCTTAAACTCAAGATGGCCTATCAGGTCATCACAAAGGGTGATGTCGTGCCATTCATATTATTTGTTTATCATTTCATGAGAAGGATGAGAGTAAAAACACGAAGGGTGGTGTCGTGCCATTTTAATATTTCAGCTACCTATTTTTATTGTTGATGAATTATTTGGTTGTTACGTGACACTTCTCCTGTTGGAATTATTATAGTATCCCCCTTCGCATGTTCCCTCCCAAATTTATAAATTTATTATTTACTTTGTTCATTATATTGCTTCGTGTATGTGTATATACTTGACATACATATGTGTCTTGTCATAGCCTCGTCACTACTTCGTCGAGGTTAGTGTGAGCACGTAAATAATTTTTTTCTAATTGTTTTTTATTTTAGAATTTTAGTAATTTCTTTTTAGTTGTTTGTTTGCATTCAATTGCATTTTTGTGCATATTTAATATCTTAAAATCATAAGAAAATACCATAAAAAATATTCAATACTTTGTTACATAGCATTTTAGGTCTTAATTGCATTTAGGATTTAATTATAATAATTAAATGCATTATCAAATTAAAATCACAAAAATACAATGGTCATTTTTACATTTTTTAGCTTTTAGTTTAACTTAATAATTTTCTGTCATTAGTGTTAAGTTAATTAATTAGTTAATTGTTAGAAAATAGGTAAGTAAGATTAACTTTGCAAATAATATAATTTAGGAGTTTAATTAATTTGTTTAGATTTTAAAATCAAAGAAAATGAATAAATAAAGAAAGGTTTTGTCTAGTTTTATCTCGAATTGGGCCAGGTAACTTCAATTGGCCCAATTGATCACAAATTCGTCCCAGTCCGGACCACTTTAAATCTAGTCCAGTCCTTTAAGCCACCAAAACGATTACGTTTTACCACTTTTAATCCCCACCCTCCATGCTCTTTGATCCTACGGCCTAGAACTAATTACCCTTCCCCCATATAACTGTCCTAACCCAGCTCCCCAAACCCTAAACAAACCCTTTCATTCTCGCATCTTCCTCATCACTCTCAAAACCCTAGCCGCCCCAGATTCCTCCACCGACGGCCACTACCCAAACAACCCCAAATATTTATCCCATAATCCCTACCTCCTCCTCATCCCATATCACCGTCTCATTTCTTCTAAAAAAATGCCTAGATTCCTCCAGTTTTTAGATCTTAGAATACCAGAAACCCTAGATTTTGGCTTCAACATCTGAGTTTTTGGGGTTCGTTTGTGCAAGATTGCCTTGTTTTCTTGGAGGTTTGACTCTCATGAGTAATTTCTTCCAAGAAAATCCGGCTAGAATCTCATTCTGGGCCGGATTCCTTGGAGGAAAAGACCTTTGGGTGGCCAAATAGTATAGAACAAGCGTCGATCTTTGGTAGGGTTCAGTTACATTCTTTTTCGCGCTTTTCCTCTTCTTTTGTTGTTATTTTTGTTTAGTTCGTTTAGTTCTGAAGTCCACACTGTTTATCCTGTTAAGAAATTATTCTCTTAGCTATTAATTTGCTCACAATTCTGTGGTTGTTTAGTCTCTAGCTAGGATCGTTTGTCGTTGGTTTTGTTAGTTTGTTGATTCAGTTTAGTCTTAGCATAATTAATTCAAGTTTGTTTGATTAAGAATTGAGAATAATTGAATAACACAAAGAAGTTAAAAGATAATAGTAATTGAGACGGAAAGTAAAAAGAGAGGGATAATTTTAGAAGGTTGGAAGGGCAATTTAGTCTTTAAATCTGAGAGAATCTTAGGTTATAACTGTTTGAGAAGGTTATAGAGATAGGAGAGGGACTAAAATGCAATAATTAGGTTAGATTAGGGTAAAAAGGGTTCACTCTTAGAAGTTAAAAGGGACAGTTGTTAGAAAAGATGCTAAAATAGGATAGTTGTCCATTTTCTGTTAAAAAACAAATGCCCTCCCGCCTAATTTTTAGCTGACATATTCCCTATATCCTCTCCCCTTTTCTCTCATATAATACAACTCCTACACTCTATATAACAGAGGAAATTCTGGGCAGAAAGACTCGCGTTTGATTTTCATTCAATATTAACTTCTTTGAAAAGAAAACACTCTAAAAAGGGTTCAAATTGGATACAGACAAAAACTTCAAACCAAAAAAGAAAGGGGTTCTTCAGCTTTTGAGTTTTTCTTTTAGAATTTCTGGGTGTATATTTGAAGCTGTTTTGGCTTATTTGTTTGTTGCTATTGCTTGCTCTGTAGCTAAGCTTATTCGCCAATTTAGCCTTTATTTGGCCATTTAAAGTTGTGTTGCTGGATTCAAGGTACATGTTCTGATATTAAGTTATGTAATTGGTGTAAGGATGTCGTGTTGTTATGAAATCTCCATTATCTTTAACTTGTATGTATGCTGAATGTTCCTTCATGATTCGACTGCTAATTTGAGTGTTGCTTCACATATTTGGTGTGACAAATGCCTATACATGCTTGAAACATAAGTAGTAAAGACAATCATGAAATCAATTCTGTTTTTAATCTTTGTTTGTCAAGGTTTGAGTTGCTATTGATGGCTTTCCTATGCATGAAGTTCTGAATTTTCCCTGTAGGTCTGTGGTTTAAGAAGTAACACGCCAAAAGTGTTGGTGACGAATTTAGAGATCGAACCAGTGCTTGGCCTGATTTTAAAAGTTCCACCACTTGAAAGTGGTCATTTCTGTAATAGCTTAATTCTAGATTGGTATAGTTCCTAGTACAGAAATGTAATTATCTGGTTCATCATTAGTAAATATAGTTGTGTAAATTCAGTATTGTTTAAATCTGTAGAAATGCTTTAACTGTGGTAGTAAAGTACATATATAATTCTTCGTGGCATTTGTTAAGTTGATCGCGTGCTGAGTTTCATTCTTGTGGAAGAACCTGTTTGTTTCCAGTGTTATTGCTTTGTAAAGTTTTAGGACTGGCCACTATTCAGGACCACATTGGAAAACCTTATGGATTGGAGTTTAATTTATGGCAATGAAGTGGGTTTCCCAAGCTCGATTTTGTCAGACCCAGGCTTTATTAATAAAATAGCTCTTCGTTTCTGTAGTAGGCCGAAACACGAGCTTAGGCCTGATTCAAATTGTTGTTATTTCTGATGACCCAAATCAGCCCATAAATCAAAGTATTCATTCGCACGACTTTGGCCAAACAATCTTGGAAATTAATAAAACATGATTAATTGTGTAAATGTACGCATGACATGACTTAAGCGCCCCAAATAAAACGGACTTATGCACATGTGATCTGTTTCAAAGATAAATTCATAACACCGTAATTAAAAGCAGTGAAAAGGTAGATGTACATAGGTTCTAAGACAAAGTAATTAAAAAATTTAATTAAGCCAGGTATGATTAAAGCGACTGTGCTAAAATCACAGAATTCATGAATGGCTAACACCATTCTCCCGGTTTAATAGAATCTTTTACTCGATCTTCTAGTTTTTACAGACTTTAAAACATAGTCAAATTTCCTCGATTTGGCATTTTAAAATAAACCGGTGATTTGGGACACCATAATAATTATTCCAAGTGGCGACTCTAATTAAATAAATAATTCCATTTTGAATAATGTCACTTTAATTAGAAAAACTCCCTATTCCTCGGAAAAAGAAGGTGTGACAGCTCTAGCGACTCTGCTGGGAAATCGAACCCAAAATCTCTGGTTCAGGGATTCAGAATTCGAGCTTGTTAATATAGTCTATACTTGGCTTTCTTGGTTGTTGCTATTACTGTTTTTGTGGGTCTAATGTGTTAATTGCCGCTCATTTACCGCTTTGATATTATTTGAACTGTATTAAACTGTCTTCTTACACCTCTCTTCTGAGTCTTCTAAAAATATGGTGCACACGTACGCGTGGCCCACTTTTCTATTAGAGGTCGTACCAAATAGAACGAGGCTAGATCAGCAACTAGGCCGGGTAGACTTTCGTGCTCCCGGTACATTGTCCCCACCTCAGCTCAAGTTGTCCGCTTGGGTAAGCCATGTTTAGAACACACCCCTAGGTTTTTAAACATAGAATAACATTGCCTCATGCCGGATCCTAGTAGGAGCATTTGTTTGCATTACATGCATTTGACTTTGGGGACTCAACACAGGGTTGGGTCCGTTTAGGACAGTTGTACCCGAAATAAAAGACCATCTTGATGCATCCTACGTGCTATTTGTGCATTTATTTGTTTCGGCTTGCATTTGATTGGCTAGGGAAAGAAAATCAAGAGAAAAATTGATGTTCTAATGTCACGACCCGGATTTCCCACATTCGGGAGTCGTGATGGCGCCTACTAATGAGAGCTAGGCAAGCCAGATTTATTTACTTGTCCATTAATAACCTAATCCATTTTAACAATTTACGACGATAATACAAAAGCAACGAAATTAAGAAATAAGCGGAAGTCTTAACATTTTATAAAACTGAATAAGATGCGGAAAGTTCAACAAAATCCTCTACCCAAGACTGGTGTCACTGTACTCACGAACTGCTAAGAATACTACATACAAACGTCTGAAAGAGAATATAAGCTGTTTGTCTCGATTACAATGAGATAACAGATAAAAATAAAGGATAGAGGAGACCCCGGGCCTGCGGACGCCTGTAAGGCTACCTCGGGTCTCGCCGAAATGAAGCCTGCTCTCATACTACTGCTGCTGCTGCTCGAAACCTAGACCTGTGCAAAATAGCACAGATTGTAGTATCAGCACAACCGACCCCATGTGCTGGTAAGTGTCTGGCCTAACCCCGGCGAGATAGTGACGAGGCTAGGACCAGACTCCAGATAAACATGTACAGATATATATACAAGTACAACAGAAAAATAACAAGAAAATAGCAATTTAAGCTGGGGAAGGGAGCATGCTTCAGGGGTAACAGATAGACACAAACTATTAGGAATAATGATACGTACATCTACAGTTTAACTTCTAACAATAATGAAAAGATAAGACAACTTTCATATTTTAACTCATCTTGTTGCAGGCGTGCAACCCGATCCCATTTCTCAATATCTCGTGGTAGGCGTACCACCCGCTCCCATTTTAATATCACTCGTCGTAGGCGTACCGCCCGCTCCCATTTCAGTATCACTTGTGGTAGGCGTACCACCCGCTCCCATTTCAATATCACTCGTGGTAGGCGTACCACCCGCTCCCATTTCAATATCACTCGTGGTAGGCGTACCACCCGCTCCCATTTCAATATCACTTGTGGTAGGCGTACCACCCACTCCCTTTTCAATATCACTTGTGGTAGGCATACCACCCGCTCCCTTTACTTTCACAAAGTGCACAATACAATTCCGGCAAGGGAACAATCAAATTAATACTCTTCCCGGCAAGGGAACTATAACAACAAGTCAAACATCCCGACAAGGGAGAGTCAGCTATAACCAATCCTATTCAACTTCTTCCTGGCACAACTAATACCAATATTTAGTCACAACGTTCATAGGATCAAATAAGGGTACACAATTATCAAATTAAGAATCACGGTCATGCTTGACACCGACGCATGGATACTCGTCACCATGCCCATACATCGTACTCAACATAAACAAGTAGCAATTATGACTCAACTCCTAATCCCTCAAGCTAGGGTTAAACCAAACACTTACCTCGATGCGTTGAACTCAACTCAAGCCTCAACTATAGCTTTACCCCATGATTCCACCTCCAATCCGCCCGAATCTAGCCACAAGTCACTTAATTACTTTAATAAACACTAATTGAATCAATTTGAATGCATAAAAATGAATTTTCCAAAGTTTTTCCCAAAAATTCCAAAATTGCCCCCGGTCCCACGTGGTCAAAACCCAAGTTCGAACCAAAACCCGGTTACCCATTCCTCCACGAACTCAGATATGTAATTTGTTTTGAAATCGGACCTCAAATTGAGGTCCAAATCCCCAATTTTTGAAAAACCTAGGTTCTACCCAAAACCCCCAATTTCACCCATGAAAATCATTGATTCTAAGTGGAAAACATGTTAAATGATGTTAATGAGTGAAAGAATTAAGTAAAAATCGACTTACAAATGATTTGGGATGAAACTTGTTCTTGAAAAATCGCCTAAGGAGTTGTATTTTGAAAGTAGGATGAAAAATGGCCTAAAATTCGACTAAGTATGAAAATTGCTGGGCTGCAGATATGGGAATTACGAACTGGGGTTCGCAATTGCGAACCCCGACCATTTGTGGGAATTGCGAAGCTGGGATCGCATTTGCGAACCCTTCCCATTTAGCCAGTTCTCGCATTTGCGAAGGGAAAAGTCGCATTTGCGACCACCCTACTTTCGCATTTGCGATCAGTGGCCAAAATCCCACAATTCGCAATTGCGATGAAAAGCTCGCATTTGCGAGCTCGCAATTGCGAGATGATCTTCGCAAATGTGAAAACTACAGAGCTGAGCATACCAGATTTTACAAAGTTCAAAAAATGCAATCTGTGTCCTATCCAAAACTCACCCGAGCCCTCGTGGCTCCCAACCAAACATACACACAACCTCAAAAACATCCTACGGACATCCGTGCGATCAAATCGCCAAAATAACATCATATACCCCGAATCAAGCCTCAAAACTCATGATTTCTTCCAAATTTTCATAAAATATCAAATTTCCATTTTAAGTCCGAAACACGTCAAACGACGTCCGTTTTCAACCAAACTTTACAGAAAGCGCTTAAACCATATATAAGACTTGTACCGGGCGCCGCAACCAAAATACGAGCCCGATTCCATAGTCTTTTAATCAAATTTTATTTTCATTTTCCTTAATCATTTCCAGAAAATAATTTCACACAAAAATTCATTTCCCGGGCTTGGGACCTCGGAATTCGATTCCGAGCATACGCCCAGGTCCCATATTTTCCTACGGACCCTTCGGGACCATCAAATCACGGGTGCGGGTCCGTTTACCGAAAATATTGATCGAAGTCAAATTTATTCATATTAATATCAAAAATTAGCATTTTTCACACATAATTCATATTTAAGCTTTCCGGCTACACGCCCGGACTGTGCACGCAAATCGAGGCAACCCTAAATGAGGTTTTCAAGGCCTCGGAAGCACAGAAAGAGTAAGGAAACAAGTGATGACCCTTTTGGTCGTCACATCTAAACGTCAATACCACACAAGAAGGGGGGTGATTTGTGTGGTACTCAATTTTCGCTCTAGAAGAACCTGGTTCTTCTAGGTGTACTAACTACTACTGTTTAAGGAATTAAAAGTACATAAAATAAAGAACACAGAGATTTTTACGTGGAAAACACCTGGCTCAAAAGGTGAAAAAACCACGACCTACTACTCAGTAAGATTTTTCCAAACTTTCACTAAAATCACTGAGCCAAAACAGCATTTACAAAAATTCTTTGTAAACCTAAGGATTAACTCTAATCCCTTTGTAGCACACAACCTCAACTGTTGCGACAACTTCAAGTTAGCCTATAACTTGAACACTCAAAGTACCTATTACAATTGCTTCTATAAAAGCTGAAAGGTACAACTTTAATCCACCTACTACAATTGAACTAGAAATAAAGAAAGACACATAAAACTCTTTATGGAGCTGGTTCTTCAATCTTGTTCAAGTAGCTTCAGGAGTGCACACTTAAATCTCACATAAATTGCTTGCAAAATCGCCTTGCTCTTTTGCTCTCAATTTAATTTAACTTCTGCGTATGTGCAATTTCCTGTAAAAGAGAACAATCACTGTTATTTAATGAGTTAGTAATTAGAGTTTGATTGAGACTCAATTGCTGATCTTCCATCGAAGTTGAGTCCTTGAACAACGCAAACTCCAACCCTATCTTTTATCCGAATTGTATTCTCTTCTCATAAGAAGACTTTCTCTCCTTATCCCATATGC